AATCACAATCCTCCTGATCTCTGCCTCCTGAGTAGCTAGGATTACAGGCCTGAGCCACCAGTGCCCAGCTTCATCCGCTTCTCTTACCACATCTCCTCCCACTAATCCAGATTTAAAACAAAAAGTCTAGTAAGAACCTAGTATAATAAAAGAAAGAAAATCCCTGGGTCACTCAGCTGTCCATTACTTTAACAAAATATCTGAGATAATCAATTTATAAAAAGCAAAGGTTTATTTTGGTTCACAGGCTTAGAGATTTCAGCCCATGACCAATTAGCCCCATTGCTGTGAGTTTGTGTCGGTAGTGGCTGAGGAAGCCCATTTGCCTCTTGACTGGGTGTGAAAAAGAAAGAAACTGAGGTCTCACAATCCTCTTTGTCAGCACACCTCCAATAATCTGAAACCTCTCTATTGAGGCCTATTGGCCCCACCTCCCAAGCCTTCAACACATGATTCTTTGTGGAACATTCCAGATCCGAACTACAGCAAGTCCCAACCATAGTGTTGCAGGAAATGGCGAGGGAAAGTGGTGAGACCATTTTGCAGGAAGCAGGAATTTTTATTACGCCAGTGGACTCAAGGGAGATAATTTCTCAAAGCCCTAAGCCCCATCAGAGTCAGGAGATGAGTTATATACCCCCCAGGTGGTTTATGTAACTGGGAGGTTTTGCAGTAGATGGTTCACAGGTGGTCAGAAAGACAAGCCAGTTACAGAGAAATAGGCTTGTACAGAGTTTTCTCCTCTACCCCCATATAGACTGTGGTCATAGTTACAGGAAACCTTGCAGGGCCTAGCTGGAGGTCTGTGACACTTTTGAGCTTGCAGAAAGCTGCTTGTGGCCCCAGAGTAGGAAATCCAAAGCATATTCCAGACACATAGTGAATCCCAGAAAAATAGCCATGTTGGCTCCAACAACAGAACTAGAAGACCTAAAGGAGGAGGAGGGGGGTCATATACAAAGGATTAAACCTAAAGTACTACTAGATCTCTTCACAGCCCATCGAAAGCTAGGAAACAAGGTCCATAAAACATTGGAAATTATTTTTACCTAGAATTCTATATTTCCACAAATAATTGATCAAAATATGCTTCTCCTTTATGTTAAGTGAAATTAGCTGGACAGAAAGACAAATACCTCATGTTCTCACTCATATGTAGAAGATAATAAAGTTGATCTCATAGAAGGAGAGAGTAGGAATAGCAATTAACAATGGCTGGGAAAGGTAGGGGAGGAGTTGACGAAGTAGGATGGGTTAATAGGTACAAAAACTGCAGTTAAATGGAAAGAGTTAGTAAGTTCTAGTGTTCTGTAGCTCAGTAGAGTGACTATAGCTACCAATGATCCATCATTCATTTCAAAGTAGCTACAAAAAAGGATTTAGAATGTGAACAACAAAAAGAAATGATAAATGTTTGAGTTGATGAATATGCTAAGTATCCTGATTTGATCACTACATATTGTGATCATGAATCAAAATATCACACTGTACCCTATAAATGTGTCAATTAAAAATCAAACTTTAGGGCTAAGCGCTGGTGACTTCCACATGTAATCCTAGTTACTTGGGAGTCTGAGATTGGGAGGATTGCAGTTTGAGCCAGTCCAGGTCAAAAGGTTCACAAGAACTCTTCAGAAAAAGCTGGATTTGGTGACCCCTGTCATCCCAGCTACACAGGAAAATAGGATGATTCCAGTCCAGACAGCCTGGGTAAAAAATACCCAGAGCAAAAAGGGCTGATGGAGTGGCTCAGTGGCAAAATGCCTGCCTAGCAAGGGTGAAGCCCTGATTTCAAACCCCAAAATAGCCAAAAAAATTAAAAACAAACATTTGGGGGACTGGGAACACAACTCAATGGTAGACCACTTGCCTGGTATACACTAGGCCCTGGGTTTGATCCCTAGTGCCACAAAAAAATTGTTACAAAAAAAATTATACAGGGCCAGAGGGTGTAGCTCAAGAAGTAGAGTACCTGCCTTGAAGCCCTGAGTAAAACCCCAGTACTGCCAAATATACACAGATATAGACAGATTTAGATATAGATGATTTAGAGATAGAGTTAGAGATTAGATAATATAGATATATACACTGGCTAGGCAGATACTCTACCACTAAGCCATACTTCCAGGCCTTTTCAATTTATTTATTTGGGAGAGAGGTGAACTGGGGTTTGAACTCAGGGCTTCATGCTTGCAAAGCAGGTACTCTACCACTTGAACTGCACCTCCAGTCCATTTCACTCTGGTTATGTTGGAGATGAGGTCTCTCGAGCTATTTGCCCGATCTGGCCTCAAACCTTAATCCTCCAGATCTCAACCTTCCAAGTAGCTAGCATTACAGGCATGAATCACCAGCACCCAGATCCCAGCCCTTTTTTGCTTTATTTTTCAGGTAGTGTCTTGTATTTTTGCCTGAAGCCAGTTTCAGGCCTACAGAATAATGGGATCACAGGAATGTTCCACCATGCCCACCTTCTTTGTTGAGATGAGGTTTCCCTAACTGGCTCTTCACCCTGGGCTGGCCTCATATGGCAATCCTCCCAGTCTCTGCCTCCTGTACAGCTTGGTTCACAGGCTTGAGCCACTGAATCCAGCTTTATTGGGTTTTTTTTGCAACTATGTAGCCCAGTCTATGTAGCCCAGTCTGGCCTAGATGTTGAGATCCTCCTGCTTCAGCATCCCAAGTGCTGGGATTACAGCATGGGTTGCCATGCCTGGAAAATTATAACATTTAAGTAAGAAGTACCCAGTGGAGTGCCTGACACAGAGGAGACATGCTCAGTAAACAGTTATCTTTTCTTGGACTTTTGCCTTCTGTGTCAAGCCACACATAAGAAGTAGATATAGGGTCTAAACCATTTTTTTCCTAGATGCTGGGGATTGAACCCAGGGCCTTGTGCATGGTAGGCAAGTGTTCTACCACTGAGCCACACGCCCTGCCTGATTATTAATAACTTTTTAGGTTCCTCCCATACATACATTTTCAAGAAGCTACTAGAGAGGATACACCAACAAAACAAGGAACATACCAAGAAAGAAGATATGGATCCTGGCAAGAGAGGATCCAACCCAGGAGGAAGAGAACGACCCAGAAGATTCCCACCAGAGCAGGAAGTCCCAACACACAAAGCTGGAGAACAGGTCTGGGGGCACAGCTCAAGTAGTAGAGTGCCTGTCTAGCAAGCACAAGATTCTGAGTTCAAACCCCAGTACCTCCAAAAACAAAGAAGCTTCAGAACAACTTCCCTGGTGGGAGCTGAGAACAGAGGGGCAGAGGGTTCAGAAGTAGAGCCATTTATAACTCGAGTTCAGGACTCTTCGTGGGCACGCGTGTGGCTCCGCATGGGTTCCTTACAAAGGAGGCCCCGGGAGGGCCTTAGCAACATCCTCATGTGACCGTAGGTTTTTGTCAATTATGAAAACAAATTATTTCAGCTATTAACAGTTAAGGTGATCACTGTCAGCCTCTGCTCCACCTTTGTGTCAGGTGACTTTTTTAACCCATTGAAGTTAGGTTGGAAATACATTTGACTTGAGCCAAGAAGGATATGTGGGTTGCAGTCACATCACCTATGTTTCTGGTTGGTCCCCCAGCACCAGAATGGCTTCCAAAGACTCACTCGGGGAAGGGGGTAACAGAAAGACGGGACAGGAGCTGCCCCAGGGCTCCTGACACCAGTAATAGAGAGGGAAGAGGCTGGGAGCAGAAATGCCTGGTGGCCAGCATTTGGATGGGCTGGAGAGACCAACCTGTCTTGCAGGGGCTACCAAAAGAGGAGTTCTCCCTGTATTTGGGGTCTCCCCAAACTGGGTTGTACAAATTCTGAATTAGAAATTAAATAAAAATTGTCATAGACAAAATTGCCTCATCTACATGAAATAGCAACTAAATAATGTCCACAATGAATAAATATAGAGATATCAGTTTATACACATTGTATAGGATGACAGATGTCAATAGTAGAAGAAATACCATTGAAAACAGCTTGTCTGCACAGCAGGAGCAGCTAAAAGGAGCAGGTTAGGTGACCGTGGCTCTGCAACTTTACAGTTCATGTATTGTTGCTTCTATTTTTTTTTTATTTAATGCCAATCATGTACATCTAAAGAAACAATCCCAGAAAATTTTTAACTAAGCAATGGAAAATCTTAACCAATAACTAGCTTCCAAGCAAAAAATTACTTGAAACTTTATATGTGAAAACAAGAAAAAAATGGCAAATACTTGCTCACCAACAGAGAATAATTAAACAATGTATACTTTGGAATTCTCTACAGCTGCTACATTCAATGAGACAAAACCTGTCAGGTGCCAGATGCCAGTGGCTCACGCCTATAATCCTAGCTACCCAGGAGGCAGCAATCAGGAGGATGGAGGTTCAAAGCCAGCCCAGGCAAATAGTTCAAGAGACCCTACCTCGAAAAAACCCATCACAAAAACAGGGTTGGCAGAGTGGCTCAAGTAGTAGAGCACCTGCCTAGCAAGCCTGAGGCCCTGAGTTCAAACCTGTTTCACAAAAAAGAAAGAAAGAAAGAAAAACTTGTCAGGGAATGAATGGCAAAGATGGCCTCTCCAGCCCATCCAAATGCTGGCCACCAAGCATTTCTGCTCCCAGCCTCTTCCCTCAGATGACCTGTGACCCTCAGATAGGGTGTCAAGGAGCAGCTATTCAGGACTTATACCTTGCCTCCTCCATACCCTTCCCTCTCACAGTCTCTGTACCCTACACATCCCAGTTCCAAATAACCAGACCACACAGACTTCAAGTATTTGTTTCTTCTTTTCCTACTCCATTGAGGAGGTTAAAAATTATAGTTACAAGAAATTGTGGGAGAAGGTGGGATCTCAGCCAGCTCTCCCAGAGTCTGAGACAATTAAGCCACCCCCTTTCTCATCTTCCTCAACCCCTCCCCATGCCCAGGACTTTATTTTTCTTTCTTTCTTCATAGTTCTTTATGGAGAAGCTAGGGTGACACAGCAGTGAGGTGCACATGAGGCTCCTAACCAGTGATATTCTGTCTCATCTCACACGCCCAACGGTTCACCTGCTGGCAGAAATTGTCATTCCACTGGCCGTTCGACAAGACTTCAACACAGTCTTCACTTCCACCCAGCTCGTGACCCTCCCAGTTATCTGGCTGAGTGATGGCCCAGTTCCTAAGAAGGCAGGACAAAACTCAAGCTCTCACCTCACCACCTCCCTCCCAGCAGCCTGTCCCTCACCCCAAGAAAGCACAGCCTTGGAGGAGTTCAGGGGTCCAAAATGGGGGCTCAGAGGTGGAGAATCAGGAAGGAGATGGCTGGAGAAGTTGGTCCCTAAAGGACCTGTGGAAGTGTGTTGAGGGCGAAAGACTAAGTGGCTGAACCTGGGGCAAACTGACAAGGAGATGGAGAGAAGTCACTTACTTGTAGCTGTTATCATAGTCAGTTCCATCCACCCATTTCCAGGAGCCATTCCTGTCATTGAGACCTATCCAGGTATGAAACGGATTTGTGTGCTGGACAATGAATTTCTGGAAAAAGAAATGTTGAGGGATGTTGCTAGTTTCTTGTGCCTTCAATCATGGTGGCATCCCCATCCCTACCTCAGCCTTCCCTAGCCTGTTGTGCCTCAGCTGAAGTATCAGTTCCCAACACAACTGCTTCCTTGCTTTTTCCTTTGTAACCACAGGTGTTTAATGAACATTTACTGGACTAACCTTTGTAATAAGTGTTTTACAAGGATTATCTCACTTACTCCTCAGAAGCCCTCTAAATTGGGTGCCATAATGAATCTCACTTTGCAAGGTAGTTGTTAAAACCTGTAGAGCCAATCCAGTGTCTAGTTTGTAACCACCAGCTTCTGTTCACAGCCCTGGCTAACATCCCACTCCCTTCCCATCATGGCTGCTACCCTGATTCCGATCCTATCCCTGTCTTCTGCCTATACCTGCAAGCTCTTGGAATCCCTGCTCTGCTCCTGCTGCCCCCACAGACTCCAGAGGTCATAAAGAATCTCAGCTTCACTGCCCCATTAGGTACATCTGCTCCTGGTTGCTCCTGTTCTGTGTAGCTGCCATTTCCTTAAATTTGCCAGGCCCCAAGCTTCCAAGCTTGGGCCCACAGCCCATCATGACCTAGCTACGTGGAGCCTGGCAGTTTGTACTGAACATAGGAGGATGCCCTGGAAGTGAGAGGGAAGTCCAGTCATCCAGCTGGCAGGAACTTGAGCGAAAGTGTCTCTGAACTCGTAGATAGCTCCCAGGATTCATGTACACTCTCTAGGACAATAGTCCCTCTAAGTGGCTATCACTGGGAACATAAATCCCAAAGTCTGGCAGGGTTGCAGGAGAACCAACCAAAAAAGTTGGAAATGTCTGATGGACAGAGGTACACTAAACAAATGCAAGCAAAAAAGAAAATAAGGGCCGTGCTATTTATATCAGCTAAAGATGAGTTCAAGGCCAAAAGCATTAAATGGGACACTGGTATTCACTTCATAATGATAAGAGCACCATCCACCACCAAGCTGTAGCCACTATGAACTTGGGAGCCAAATCAGAGAGCTTGGAGACCTTAGGTTGAATGACATGAAACTGACCTTTTCTTTTTTTTTTTTAGAGTTACTTGGGGTTGAACCCAGAGCCTTGTGCCTGCTAGGCAGGTACTCTACCACTTGAGCCACTTTACCAGCCCAAAATTCACATTTTTATAGATCAAAATTGACCAGAGACAATGTTAACCCGCTCAGTAAAGCAAAGTGTCTGTGATCACTTTACCATGTAGAGGGCTTACATAGCCTTGTGGACAGCAAATGCTTGATAAATATATTCTAGCTTCTGGATCCTATGGCTGAATATTTCAAGTTCATACAGAACAAAGTCCCCATAAACCCACAGAATTAATGCAGCAGGTAGAAGTTGAAAACTGGATGTGGTGAAACATGCCTGTAATCCCAGCACTCAGGAGGCTGAGGCAAGAAGATCATGAGTTCCAGGCCAGCCTGGGCTATGTAGCAATATCCTCTCAAGAAGGGAGAGAGAGAGAGAGAGAGAGAGAGAGAGAACAGCTGGCTAACAAAACCGAGTTGATCAGAATTCTGACTCCATCATGACTTACTAGCTCTGTGGGCAAGTCACTTAACCCCTCTGTTCCTTAGTACCCTCATCTCAATGGGAGGATATTAAGGGTGCCTACCCACCAGGGTTGTGAAGATGAAGTAAGTATATGAGCTGTATGCCAGTGGGTCATGCCTGTAATTCTAGCTACACAAGAGGCTGAGGATCAGGAGGATCATGAGTTGAGGCCAGCCCAGGCAAAAAGTTTGAGAAACTTCATCTTAACCAATAGCTGGGTGCAATCACCTGCTCCTATCATCCCAGCTACTTAGGAGGTGGAGATTAGGAAGATCATGGTTCCAGTCCAGTCCAGGAAAAAAAGTTTGAGACCCCAATCTCAATGAAAAAAACTGGGTGCCATGGCATGTACCTGTCATCCCAGCTACTGCAGGAAGTATAAATAGGAGAATCATGGTTGTAGTTCAGGCTAACCAGGGAAAAAGTGAGACCCTATCTCAAAAATAACCAAAGAAAAAAGTGCTGGAGGCATAGCTCAAGTGGTAGCAAGCACAAAGCCCTAAGTTCAAACCCCAGTACCACAATAAATAAATAAATAAATAAATAAATAAATAAATAAGAAGTAGATAAACATACCCAGAACATAGTAAATATTCAGTTAATGCTACCATTATTACCCTCCTTGTCCAAAAACATCCTGCTTATTCTAATAGGTTGGTTCTTCCTCATGAATTTCCATATTCAGGCTGCTGTCTGGTGGGAACAGGGCTGTCTGGTAGGAGACGCAGAGTGCCTTGGAGGGACCCCGTAACCCAATGCAGGAATTCTGCTCACTCTATTCCTTTCACTCAAGTGATAGGATGTGAGGGCAATCTGGCTGCGACATCTGTCACCCCATTGATCACCAGGGTTGATTCAGCTGATCTGGCTGGCTAGGCAGATATCCCCTTCCTCCCTCACCGCTCCATGTTTGTCCTTGCCGAAGCTGCATGTTCAGTCGAAGAGGATAACCGTCACTGATAGAGGAGGACCGTTCTTCAGTCAAAGGTATACAAGTGCCTGCACTCCCCTGCTAGAACCTCCAAACAAGCTGTCAAGTGACAACCACATCCAAAGGCTAGCACAGAAAGAAAGACTCACAGACCCTCCAGTGTATTCTTCCATATCTTAGCCTGGAGGTCATCCTGGCTGACAACCTGTCTGACTGGCTCCTTATCACCCAGTCACTGACACCTGGCTCTCTGCCTGAGTTCCAGGCTGCCATCTCCCACCTCTTAGAATCAATGGTTGCTCCATTTTGAACCTCTCAGAGCTCTACAACACTTGTGATTCTGCACGCTATCTTAGGTTCCCAGGGGAAAAAGCAAGCCTGATCAGACTTCCGGAATGAGCCTGCTTCTCAAAAGCCTCCCGCCTTTGAGAAGCAGGACCTCACCTGCTCCTCCCAAGAGTTAATGACCACCAGGTGGGCATTCCCCAGCCGGCAGTACTGGTCAGCCTCAGTCCAGGTCATCCCAGCTCGAGAAAACCAGTAGCAGCTGCCTCCATGCTCCACCCAGTTAACAGGGCAGCATTCTGTGCCTGAGGGAACAGAAGGAAGTGAGATTCAGCTGGAGAGGACAGGACACATGGGCCCAAAGACACTACTATCCCTACCATTGCTTCTAAAGAATGCCATCTGACAAGTCAGGGTACGCAGATCCACTGGGAAGTGCTTCAGGTGAAGGAGCAAGGTAGAGTGATCTAGGGGACAGATGGACAGACAGTGAAATTAGAAGACATGTGGGTCCCCACCTGCCAGGACCAAGCACAGGACTCCAGCTGTTGGCTGGGGGAGCTCACACACACCCCACACCACACACCATACACACCCACTCCAAACACACCACACCATATACAACACCCATACCACACCACACACTATATACCACACCCCACACCACACCACACACTGCACACATCACCCTCCACACACACCACACCACACACACACACCACACATCACATACAGCATACCATTATACATCACACCATATGCTACATGCACACAACACCACACAGCATACACCATGAACCACATCAGACCATACACACACCACACCATCCACACACATACCACACATAGCACACTACATACTACATCTAAACCACCACACACCACACCAAGTGCCACACATACTCATATATTCCCCACACAGCACACTGACATATCACACATACAAATACACACCATACATCCACACACCCACGCATGCTTCACATAACACACCCTCTGGGAGGGTCTCTGACCTGCTTTTAGGTCCTGCTGCTTTTTCTCCAGTTTGGCTCCCAGGGATGTCAACTTGTCACTTGTGCTGCCTCCTAAAAAAGAAGGAAGTTAAATTATTTCCCCTCATTCTACCACCTGAATGTGCCTCATGCTTCTGGGACACCAGTTGGTGTCCATTTCCTTGACCAAGATGTTGCCTGGACTACACCTGCCCCTCCAGCCCCAACCAGATTCCCCACACTGCTGTGGGGGCTCAGGCCACTGTGCTGTTTAAAACCCTCCACTGGGTCCCCATGTTCTTGCAACCAAGCTCCACTCAGGCCACACAGCTTGCTGCAGGGCCTGCCTCCTCACAGTGACCTCCTCACCACTGCTCCACCCTGTGCAAGGCCTTCCTCACCTCCTGGCTGTCACAGCTTCTTCTACTGGCCTGGCACTAATCTCCCTCCTCTTAATCTGCCTGCCCCAGTGCATCCTCAGGGACCCTCAGGTCAGGGCCAGAGTCCCTGGAAGTCTTGCCAGCTCCTTGGGCTGGGTGATCTGACCTGGCCTTCGTCCCCACAGCCCAACCTCAACAACCTGTTGGGATAAACCGGTGCCAACCATCCATCCACTCACCATAAGAGCCCAGAGCCTGGACCTCCGCCAGGGTGCTGGAGGAGAAGTTGCTAAAAGCTTCTTTCAGGCGTGGAGTTCCACTTGCAGCTGTGTGCCTTGTCAGGAGACAGTAGGGACAAGAAGGGGTGTGGGCTGCGTCCCCGTAACTGTCCATGTGACTATCCCCCACTGCCCATCACTGCCACCATGATTGACCCTCGTTTGTGCCCAGTACACGCCCCATGCTGCCTCCTCCTCCCCTCTCATTGTCTCCATCACTGCCCCATTGTTCCCTATAACTTCCCCATCCTTGCCTCATCCCTAGGGTCTCACTTTGGGACCCAATGACACAGATGACCACCAGCAGCGGGACATTGAAGCTCAGAGCAAACAGACTGAGATGGAGCCTGGAGCAGAGCGCAGTGGAAAGGTCCGGGAAGGAGGATGTCCTGTGAAAGAAGGGATGTCAGGAGCCTGATGTCCAGGGATCAGGTGCTGGAAAGCAGGACACACTGGCGCACAGGGGCACAGAGGAAACACAACCTGGGCTAGGGAGGAAACTGAGTGGAGGTGGTGGAGGATTCAACGGATTTGACCCCACATCTGTACCCACATGAGCATGTACAAGAGCACATGACATGCACCCACATGACACAGGATATTCACACCAATTGTGTCCAAAGCCAAGATGCTTCGTCCCACAGAAGGACCTGGAGGACAGACCTGGCCTTTACTAGACACACATTCCAAGAAAGGAGGTCTGAGAATGGCCTTCCTTCCTCCTCACCAGTGCAAGAGCCTGCAAGTCACTTCTGGCCTTAGACTCTGTCCTTCTACAGCTCTATCCCTTCAGAATGGTGTCCCTAGAAGCCGGACCCTGTGTTCTTAAAAATCAACAACCACATCCTTCATACAAGCCCCAAACTGGAATAAGCCCTCCACCTCAAAATTCCACTAGAATCCTTCAGCCAAGGCCATCGTACCATAGAGCTCTCCCCAGGAGCCACCTCTAGACCTGTCCAGTCTCCACATCCCCCCAACTCAAAGCCCCTCCCCAGAATCCAGTGCCACTCTTCCCGCCGTGGTCAGTCTGCACCCTGACCACCGCACACACTCCGCACATTTTCCACTCTCACACACAGTCCACTCACACACTCGCAAGCACATTTTCCACTCTCACACACGTGTCAGTCTGCACCCTGACCACCGCACACACTCGCAAGCACATTTTCCACTCTCACACACGTGGTCAGTCTGCACCCTGACCACCGCAACACTCGCAAGCACATTTTCCACTCTCACACACACGTGGTCAGTCTGCACCCTGACCACCGCACACACTCGCAAGCACATTTCCACTTCTCTCACACACGTGGTCAGTCTGCACCCTGACCACCGCACACACTCGCAAGCACTTTCCACTCTCTCACACGTGGTCAGTCTGCACCCTGACCACCACACACACTCGCAAGCACATTGTCCACTCACACACACGTGGTCAGTCTGCACCCTGACCACCGCACACACTCGCAAGCACATTTTCCACTCTCTCACACACACGTGGTCAGTCTGCACCCTGACCACCGCACACACTCGCAAGCACATTTTCCACTCTCTCACACACGTGGTCAGTCTGCACCCTGACCACCGCACACACTCGCAAGCACATTTTCCACTCTCTCACACGTGGTCAGTCTGCACCCTGACCACCACACACACTCGCAAGCACATTTTCCACTCTCTCTCACACGTGGTCAGTCTGCACCCTGACCACCGCACACACTCGCAAGCACATTTTCCACTCACACACGTGGTCAGTCTGCACCCTGACCACCGCACACACTCGCAAGCACATTTTCCACTCTCTCTCACACGTGGTCAGTCTGCACCCTGACCACGCACACACTCGCAAGCACATTTTCCACTCTCTCACACGTGGTCAGTCTGCACCCTGACCACCGCACACACTCGCAAGCACATTTTCCACTCTCTCACACACGTGGTCAGTCTGCACCCTGACCACCGCACACACTGCAAGCACATTTTCCACTCTACACACGTGGTCAGTCTGCACCCTGACCACCGCACACACTCGCAAGCACATTTTCCACTCTCACACGTGGTCAGCTGCACCCTGACCACCGCACACACTCACAAGCACATTTTCCACTCTCACACACACGTGGTCAGTCTGCACCCTGACCACCGCACACACTCGCAAGCACATTTCCACTCTCACACGTGGTCAGTCTGCACCCTGACCACCGCACACACTCGCAAGCACATTTTCCACTCTCTCACACGTGGTCAGTCTGCACCTGACCACCGCACACACTTGCAAGCACATTTTCCACTCTCACACACACACGTTGGTCATCTGCACCCTGACCACCGCACACACTCGCAAGCACATTTTCCACTCTCTCTACACACGTGTCAGTCTGCACCCTGACCACCGCACACACTCGCAAGCACATTTTCCACTCTCACACACACGTGGTCAGTCTGCACCCTGACCACCGCACACACTCGCAAGCACATTTTCCACTCTCTCACACGTGGTCAGTCTGCACCCTGACCACCGCACACACTCAAGCACTTTTCCACTCTCTCACACGTGGTCAGTCTGCACCCTGACACCCACAACACTCGCAAGCACATTGTCTCACTCACACACACGTGTCAGTCTGCACCCTGACCACCGCACACACTCGCAAGCACATTTTCCACTCTCTCACACACACGTGGTCAGTCTGCACCCTGACCACCGCACACACTCGCAAGCACATTTTCCACTCTCTCACACCACGTGGTCAGTCTGCACCTGACCACCGCACACACTCACAAGCACATTTTCCACTCTCTCACACTGGTCAGTCTGCACCCTGACCACCGCACACACTCGCAAGCACATTTTCCACTCTCTCTCACACTGGTCAGTCTGCACCCTGACCACCGCACACACTCGCAAGCACATTTCCACTCACACACACTTGGTCAGTCTGCACCCTGACCACCGCACACACTCGCAAGCACAAATTTCCACTCTCTCTCACACGTGGTCAGTCTGCACCCTGACCACCGCACACACTCGCAAGCACATTTTCCACTCTCTCACACGTGGTCAGTCTGCACCCTGACCACCGCACACACTCGCAAGCACATTTTCCACTCTCTCTCACACGTGGTCAGTCTGCACCCTGACCACCGCACACACTCGCAAGCACATTTTCCACTCTCTCACACACGTGGTCAGTCTGCACCCTGACCACCGCACACACTTGCAAGCACATTTTCCACTCTCACACACGTGGTCAGTCTGCACCCTGACCACCGCACACACTCGCAAGCACATTTTCCACTCTCTCTCACGTGGTCAGCTGCACCCTGACCACCGCACACACTCACAAGCACATTTTCCACTCTCACACACACACGTGGTCAGCTGCACCCTGACCACCGCACACATTCGCAAGCACATTTTCCACTCTCACACGTGGTCAGTCTGCACCCTGACCACCGCACACACTCGCAAGCCATTTTCCACTCTCTCACACGTGGTCAGTCTGCACCCTGGACCACCGCACACACTTGCAAGCACATTTTCCACTCTCCACACCACACACCGTGGTCAGTCTGCACCCTGACCAGCCGCACACACTCGCAAGCACATTTTCCACTCTCTCATACACACGTGGTCAGTCTGCACCCTGACCACCGCACACACTCGCAAGCACATTTTCCACTCTCACACACAACGTGGTCAGTCTGCACCCTGACCACCGCACACACTCGCAAGCACATTTTCCACTCTCTCACACACGTGGTCAGTCTGCACCCTGACCACCGCACACACTCGCAAGCACCTTTTCCACTCTCTCACACGTGGTCAGTCTGCACCCTGACCACCACCACACACACTCGCAAGCACATTTGTCCACTCACACCACGTGGTCAGTCTGCACCCTGACCACCGCACACACTCGCAAGCACATTTTCCACTCTCTCACACACACGTGGTCAGTCTGCACCCTGAACCACCGCACACACTCGCAAGCACATTTTCCACTCTCTCACACACGTGGTCAGTCTGCACCCTGACCACCGCACACACTCACAAGCACATTTTCCACTCTCTCACACGTGGTCAGTCTGCACCCTGACCACCACACACACTCGCAAGCACATTTTCCACTCTCTCTCACACGTGGTCAGTCTGCCCCTGACCACCGCACACACTCGCAAGCACATTTTCCACTCACACACACTTGGTCAGTCTGCCACCCTGACCACCGCACACACTCGCAAGCACATTTTCCACTCTCTCACACACGTGGTCAGTCTGCACCCTGACCACGCACACACTCGCAAGCACATTTTCCACTCTCTCACACGTGGTCAGTCTGCACCCTGACCACGCACACACTCGCAAGCACATTTTCCACTCTCTCACACACGTGGTCAGTCTGCACCCTGACCACCGCACACACTTGCAAGCACATTTTCCACTCTCACACACGTGGTCAGTCTGCACCCTGACCACCGCACACACTCGCAAGCACATTTTCCACTCTCTCACGTGGTCAGCTGCACCCTGACCACCGCACACACTCACAAGCACATTTTCCACTCTCACACACACACGTGGTCAGCTGCACCCTGACCACCGCACACATTCGCAAGCACATTTTCCACTCTCACACGTGGTCAGTCTGCACCCTGACCACCGCACACACTCGCAAGCACATTTCCACTCTCTCACACGTGGTCAGTCTGCACCCTGACCACCGCACACACTCGCAAGCACATTTTCCACTCTCACACACACACGTGGTCAGTCTGCACCCTGACCACCGCACACACTCGCAAGCACATTTTCCACTCTCTCATACACACGTGGTCAGTCTGCACCCTGACCACCGCACACACTCACGAGCACATTTTCCACTCTCTCACACACGTGGTCATCTGCACCTTCACCACCGCACACACTCACAAGCACATTTTCCACTCTCTCACACGTGGTCAGTCTGCACCCTGACCACCACACACACTCGCAAGCACATTGTCCACTCTCTCTCACACGTGGTCAGTCTGCACCCTGACCACCGCACACACTCGCAAGCACATTTTCCACTCACACACACTTGGTCAGTCTGCACCCTGACCACCGCACACACTCGCAAGCACATTTTCCACTCTCTCTCACACGTGGTCAGTCTGCACCCTGACCACTGCACACACTCGCAAGCACATTTTCCACTCACACACACGTGGTCAGTCTGCACCCTGACCACCGCACACACTCGCAAGCACATTTCCACTCTCTCACACACGTGGTCAGTCTGCACCCTGACCACCGCACACACTCACAAGCACATTTTCCACTCTCACACACACACGTGGTCAGCTGCACCCTGACCACCGCACACACTCGCAAGCACATTTT